GCACATGCAATTCGTGTCCTAGTCAGCGAATTCGATGGATAACGCATTCTCCACCGAATAATTACCAGGTACCTGACGGCTTACCTTAGTGTTGCTTACACGTCTGTACCATCCAACCCACGCCAAACTGCGTAAACACAGACAGTCGAAAACTTCCTTTTCATGGGTATCTTCTACTCGCAAATTCCAGAACTGTACGAACAGTGACACAATATTCACGACCTTTCAACTTCAGTGAAATGTATTGTTTGGGGCACTGGTGCTTCTAAATATCACAATACCTTTGATCCATACTGGTTACTGTTATCCATTTTCGAAGAAGTCGGAGGTGTATTAGTCAAAAATCTGCGACCGATTTCAGTGATTTTATGAGACAAGTCTCTGACAATAATTCCATTTTTGTGTTTTGCTTTAAGAACTGTTGACTCCATAACCTAACGGAAAGTATTTAAAGGCTACGTTCGCAATAAAATTGGTTTGTGGGTTCTGGTTGTTGGTGAAAAATACGGGTAGAGGTGTGTTCCACGGTTTAGTCGTTGGGGATACTAAGGACCTTAAACTTGAAATCAGATACGGATTTTTTGGTTTGAACAACCATTAACCTAGCAATGCCGTTTCGGTTGTTGCTTTTCAGGGTCATCAGCGATGTATTAAGTGAAAGAAGCGAGAATTTGAAAGCAGTGAGAATATAAAGGTGCAAAACGCAGGTGAACTAGATCTGGATAGAAAGTAAGATGCATAAGCCTCATGTTTCACGACAATCATACCGCAGTGCATCTCTGACTATTGATTAGGCTGATCCCGGGATCACTGACCAGAAATAACTGACATGGCCACGTACTTTGGCCAGGGTTTACACTCTGGATCATAGTTTGAACACCCTTCCAACTACCGCTTACCTCCGCTTACACTGAGGAAGCCTATCCAGTGACGTGCGTTACACATTGTAGGGTGACACTTCTTTTGTCTCCTATGGAGTACATAGGGAATTCGTAGCTTCATGATCTTTGTTCATTGTCACGATTAATGGCATTTTTGAAAACGTGTCTCTAACTTCCACGTGGATACAGTTTTTTACCCAGATCTTATCAATGATATCCTAAGACAGCCTCGCCGTACAAGTGAAGGATTACCTGGCAATTGAGCTACATGTTTGAAGTGAGAAGTAGTTAGTTTAAAGTGACAGAAGTTTACACTGGTTTACACTAATCGCCTAACCCTCATTTGTCGCTTCACGAGGTTGCAATGATCACACTCTAAGAACAGCTTGGCAGGCTCACCGAACGAGGCTAACTGAGTTTCTCGCAACAGTTGCGACAAACTGGAGGAACGAGATCGTATTGTTAGTCCAACGGCTAAGAAGGCGGTTTGAATCCATGTACACTTCTACAGGAAATCCTACAATATTGGCTGTGTGCCAGAGGTACACTGAACTAAATAGCCGGGTGATGTTGGGGACATCATCTGTACCTAATTCCCACGATGCATCGTGAACTCTTCATAGACCTGGCTCATCCTCGTCTATGGGACCTTAAAATAGAGGAATACACAATACCAAACGTGTAGTCACGTTTTTTCCACTTGTGTCAATTCTAAACCTGTTCGTCGCCCATCGTTAAGTAGCGTCCAGTCCGCTTTTTCGCTATTTGAGTGCACACAGGGTCTAAAAATAATTAGTCCGGTTTTTTTAAATTTCTGTAAACGAAACTTCCTGTTCACAGCTTCATGTTCTATCTTGGCTTAAAGGATTTTTAAAGACCCTAAGCACTGAGTTAGCATGTCTTTTCCATCTTTCTACGCACTCCGATTTCTTAAGTTCTAATTTCCTTTGTACTGTGTCTGCCATATTCACTTACTGACAAACAGATGGCAACAAGTCTCCTCCATCCCCGCCTGAGTACGGTGAAACAGTAAAATATTGTCATCTCATTTATTTGCTATTTCCCATTTTAACAGTCCCATCTTCTTCCTGTGTTCTGTATCCCAACCTCCCCTCCTGTATTGTTATCGTTATTATTGTTTTGGAGTTGGCACCATGCTTGTCCGCAAGCCGGTATATATATATATATATATATATATATATATATAGTGTTTTGTGTGAAAGTTTTTTCCTCCTTGTTTTTCAGTGTGGTGGTTGGCGAACGAATTCTCGAACGGAAATCCAAGCTTTGTTGCTTGCACACGTTGTACAACACAACATGTTTTGGTCATGCCTTCATTTGAGGACAGCAGTGTTTTGTATCAGAGGAACATGCATTACAGTTTTTTGTTTTGCATCAATTAAATGAAGCCTAATGTGATAACCTAACTATTATTATACGAACTTCCCTCGCTTCGGTCAGTGCTTAATCTCTCCATTTTCTCAGTTATTTACGACTGTGATAGAATACATAAATCCACTATTTAATTTTGTCACTGTCGCATCCACCATGCATTCATTTTACACAGGCTGATGAAGAGTCTTTGAAGTCCCGTCTAAGTCGGGATTACGAGGCTACAAAGTTAGCCATGCGTAAAGAGTTTCAGCGGCTTGAAGAAGCACACGCGATAGAGATGGAAAAAGAACGGAAACGAGCAGCTGCGGCCGAGTCTAAACTGGTTCGTCAATTGGAAACCGAGACCAAAAATGAATTGAAAACAGCAAAGAAGTCCCGTGAACGCCCACTCAGCACCCACGACCCTTCAGATCCGGGGTTGGTTCGGCACCTCGATCCGCTCGAAGCGATTCGCCGTCGTCGACAAGATTTAACGAATTTGGAGATTCGTAAGACCAAGCGTGCCTCGCTGATGCAGCTCCAGGCAATGGAGGTAAATAACGTTTCGTCATATCCTGTTTGGTTTGAAAACAATGTCCCGAGGGCGGAACCTCCTGTTTTCGATAATTCATCAACTAATCAATGTACCTAAATGGCAGTATTTGTAGCATTTAATTTAATTGAAACAGCATCAAACCATTTTCTCGGGTCATATTGTATCTGCGGCAAAACAGATTATTATTCGACTAACCAGCGTCTTTTCTGGGCCCAGAAACAGCTTGTTAAATCATGAAGTCTACTTTAGTCATCAGCGCCTGATCCCGTGTCGTAACTGTATTCCACTCATCCGAAGTAGTTCACGCATGCTAAGAGACCGACAACAATGGCGTCATATCCCGACAACCGTCTATTCATGTTTTTCCTAATACCGCTTTTTCCGTAATTATAAAATGTAATGCAGTTATGCAGTCGGTGGATCATCGATAACACCTTTACCACTGTTGTTCTTATGCACACAGAACATGCCAGATTTATTAACTGCTTGCGTTCACTCGTCGGTGTTTTAGTATTTTTTTTAAATATTATCTTCTTGACAGTACACCTTTATGATGCAATCAGCAGTCCAAATTTAGTGTTTGTGTGCAATCGGCCTTAACCTGTAGTAATAGTAGTAGTAGTAATGTTCATTTCTCCGTGATTATGTAATGCTAGATCGAAGAATTCATCCGAATGTAATGTCTGAATAATTTTCGTGTGGTTTATTTATCCGGTGGCATGAGCAGTTGGACACTACGGTTAGGGGGCATCATGGGATGATGCTTGGTCTATCCTTTCCTTGAATGGAACCTCGGGATCGGCGTAACCAATGGTAAGAGACACTGAGTGAGCTGGTTGAGTTTCGCAACCAGAGGCGCTTGTGTTTCAAATTCACCTTATAATTATTTTATGGTGAATCAAAAGGTTGTCAGTTAGTCACACAAGGTTTGAGTGTCGCGGCTCAACGGGCTGCGGAAAAGAGGTCAAGACAAGAATGCCATGCACATACTGCCAGAAGACTTTTCACGCCGCATGCACCAATCTATCGATTAAAAAGATGAAACACATGCTCGCACAACAAGAGCGTTCTTGGTTTTGCTGGGATTGTATGAAAACTCCGGTTATAAAATACATAATCGGCATTGAAAATAGGTTTGAGAAGCTACTGTTAGCTGCGGAGGAAAAACCGAATAGAAAAATTTCAGCGTTACAAGAGAAGATAACCACCCTGTTAACTCAGCTCGAAAAGTTAAATATGGAATACCGGTGCTCAGGTCTTCTGGAAAAGCCACAGCTAATACAACGGAAGCTGATGAAATGCTGTAGAACCAATATGCCCAAGTCTTTCCTGCGTCAACGAACGAACGACTGTACCTCCTTTGCTAGATGCATCAAATTCCACGTCCTTCACTAACCAACGTATCATTCCCTACCGAAAAGCAGAAAGCAAAGCTATTGGCCTTGAGGAAGAACTCGTCGTCAGGTGCAGACAATATTCACCCCTAAACCCTTTTCTGCTTAACGAATCAAATATCCGAGCCACTAGCCTTTCTATTCCTAAAAATGTTCGGTCACACACTGCAATCCCACCGTCGTGGAAGCAGGGAGTAATTTCACCCAGTTACAAAGGCGGTTGCCGTAGCGATCCCGCTAACTACCGTCCTGTGACCCTCTTTTCAGTATTGTCCAAAGTCATGGACTCCATAGTAGCAGGTCCCCTGATGGAACACCTAGAGAAGCACGACGCTTTTGTCATCAAATCAGTATGGATTCCGACAGAATCGATCCTGCGCTACCAATTTGCTGATCGCACGAGAAGAATGGACAAAAGCAGTTGATGACGGCGACGCGGTAGATGTTATTTATCTAGACTTCTCAAAAGCGTTCGATCGGGTGAACCACGACATTCTACTGTGGAAACTCTATAATCACGGTATTCGGGGCCTCGTGCTTGGTTGGGTCGAAGCATTTCTCCGACATCGGACCGCATCGGTCCGTGTTTCTGATTCGCTTTCCAGTCCTATGGACGTTACCCGTGGGGTTCCACAAGAATCTGTGCTTGGTCCGCAACTTTTCCTAACATTCATAAACGACCTACCGAAAGCTCTGGGGCCAAAGTCATCAGTGTTTGCAGATGATGCCAAAATTTGGAATACAGTAACGCAACCAGCGGGCTCACTGGCACTCCAGGAAACGTTGAAAGCAGCTCAGCTGTGGTCCCTTATGAACGATATTGAATTCAATGTGCCAACGTGTAAGGTTTTATGTCTACGATACAGGGGGCGATTTACGTATTTCCTCGGAAATGAACAACTGCCGCACGCCGCAAGTGAGAAGGACCTGGGCATCATAATTCAAGAAAACTTAAGCTGCTCACTCAACTGCACCAAGGTGTCCAACGCAGTTGTAAAGAATGTCCGTTTGCTTAAGCTGGACTTTGGCCGGTTAGAGTCAGCTTTATTCCTCCGTCTACTATCAGCAAGCATTCGCTCACTCACAGAAGACGCCATCCAGGCATGGAATCCATGGCTACAGTGTGTTTGCAAGATGCTGGAGCGTCCACAAAGGATGGTCGCTAAAATGGTCAGGGGGTTGAATCGGTATTCATACGCAGAGAGATTGAAGTCACTGGGGTTATATTCCAATCACTACCGTCGCATCAGAGGAGATATGATTATGGTATACCAAATAATGCAAAACCCAAGCCATCCGTGT